AGGGCCATTCAGCAAGCTCAACAATTTTAAGTCAACCCCGAAAGCATATAGACATTATAGCTTAGCGTGCCCATAGAATCGGGAGTGGGAAAGATATCAGATTAGACAAGCAATCTTCCGGTAAGTGCTAGTGAGCTACATGCAGTGTTTACAAGTAGCATATTTTTGATATGTTGCAATCTCCTTTGCCACCTGTCCGCGCGCAAGTCCCCAGTCCATACTCGACCACGCCCGTGTTCGTGGGTGTGTCCACCCGACCGTCTGACAGTGCATGCATCGAGTTTTCTTTCTCTTGTCGTGCATGTGTTTGTTAATTGATCGCTTCCTTCCCGCTTACAGTTCCTCCTTTTTTTTCTTGTCGGTCAGATCCGTTAGCCAGTCTCACTTTAGTTAATTTACAATTGACAGCAATATCTTTTACATGCATGGTCTTTGTCGTACCGAATTTTCTTTGCAAAATCGCATATAAAAAAAAATACCACAATTTAACAATGTCTTCTTTACGGAATCTTTTGATAACCACAAAATCATTCTATTTTCAGAGCGTAGTTATCGCTGGATGGGGTCAACATTTTCCACAGGTGGTTTTAAATCGTTCGGCAAAGAGCAACCCACGCAGACGGAGTCGGAGATTACAGAGAAACCTGAAGTATCTAAGACGCATGAAGAGATTACTGGTGATGAAACAGCAGCATTTGCCTGCCCTCAAGACGGGTGCGTGAGAGTTTTTCAAAGGCATTCTGCCTTAGAGAAACACCTGTCCTCAGAAAAATGCACAAAGTCTTTAGAGGAGAGATCTTTTCTAGACCTGGCCAAGATCGCATATAAATCTGCATTGGAAGAAGATGTGGGAACTATACCAACTCTGCAACCAGTTCCAGGAAGTGAACGTCGAACTGATTGCTGTAATAAGGAAGACTGGGCTCTTAAGTCAACCAAGAAGGCCTACAGGCTTAGTGAGAAGCAAAAGGCATACCTTGATGNAGAGATCTTTGCTAGACCTGGCCAAGATCGCATATAAATCTGCATTGGAAGAAGATGTGGGAACTATACTAACTCTGCAACCAGTTCCAGGAAGTGAACGTCGAAGTGATTGTTGGAAGACTGGGCTCTTAAGTCAACCAAGAAGGCCTGCAGGCTTAGTGAGAAGCAAAAGGCATACCTTGATGCCAAATTCAATATTGGCCAAACGTCAGGTGGAAAATTAGATGGGGAAGTAGATGCAAGAGAGATGAGACGTGCCCAAGGACCTGACGGTGCTCGAATTTTCAACGTTGCCGAGTCCTGAACCCACAGCAGATCTCTTCCTACTTCTTCCGCCTTGCTGCCAAGATTCGGAAACAACTACCGGATCGATGATTGCGATGTTCAGGCCAGCGAAGAGGAAATCAACTTCACGATGGCAAGGAATTTGGCCCTAGAAACCATCTCTCTTCAGCACCCAATAGTGTTCGATTAGTTCGATATCTGTACCATAGTGAAGGACGACACGTTGAAGAAGCACCATACCTTGCCTTGCTTGGTGAAGCTGTTTCCCGTGCACATGCCAGATCTGCCAATAACCGATCTTAATCAGTTCTGATCAGTTATCTGGTTTGCTTGTTTTTAATACCTAGGGCTGTAATGGCTGCACAGATCACGGCCTAATCGATAATATTTGTAGTTACGGCGCCTCACCTTCGTTTACAAATTCACGCTTTTTGTACATTGTTTTCTGTTTTCAGTTGTTTCGTGTATATTTCTTATTTTATTAGGTTCCTCAGTCATTTTGGTCACGTCTTAATTCATATTTTCGTGTTCATTTTTTATGCATTGTTTCTATTGTTTGGTATAGCTTCTTCTGCCATAGTTTTCTTGTCGCCGTTGTCATTATGTATTAGTCGTCGTAGTCGCCACATAATCTTGTAAGTTTTGTTATTTTGTCTGTTATTTTGCCTGTTTTATTTGTATTTCGTTTTGCTTTCCTGTTCTGTACGCTAGTAAAGGTGCGAATTTCTTTGATTTGTGGATTTCGACTACAATATTTTATTTAGATAAGTAAATTTTAATCAGCGATTTTGGCATTTTACGTGGCTTGGGAGTTTCTGTTTTGGTTATTCTGAGTTAATTAGGACAAGAGGGTAATTGAACAAAAAACAAAAAGCATAAAATATACGCACGAGATAAGATTTAAAAAGACACGCAGCCAATGGAGTAAATGTATAACTTAATCTAACTCTAAAACAAAAAAACCGAGCAATGGACAAAAAGAACATAATCGTGCGATTTTAAAATTTCCCCCGTAACTGTTCTAATGGTCCTTTTATTATTGGGGTGAGATTTAAGTTCTCAGTAGACGTGTTTGAGACCCGAACAAGTGTCCCCTCGCTTAGGTTACTATACTGCGATTATTACATTTTAGTTGACTTAACCCTTCCGGGAGGTGGAAAAATGGTCGCGTTAAAACAGCGTCACGATCGACAGGTAAGCAGCGAGCTGAAATAATTATTGAACCGTCACACGCAAGTAAGATACACTTTGTGCGTTACCAGGAAGTTTCTCACGCATTGCACATGCGTTACATGAGTGCATATGTAGAACTCAAATACATATTGTGATTTCGCAGTAGTTTAATGCTCCCTCTTTGGAATTCGAAGATTTTTTATTG